AGAAAGAAAGAAAGAAAGAAAGAAAGAAAGAAAGAAAGAAAGAAAGAAAGAAAGAAGGAAGAAAAAAATTGGGGCAGGAGGTCAATGGAGCTGAAAAGGAAGGGTTTCAGGAAACAGTGTGTGGCTATTGTGTCCTAACATGAAGCCTGCTTAATCTTTAGAAGTGTTTAATAATTTTTGTGTGTTGCTTTTGTTTTTATTTTGGTCTTTTGACTTATTTTTCTTTGCTTTTTGTAGAACTAATGTAATGCTGCTCAGGATGCCCTTGATCTTGCTATGTAGCTAAAGATGGTTTTGAACTCCTGATCATCTGGCCTTCACCTCACAAGTACTGGAGATTTCAGGAAAGGGCTACTATCCATGGCTTTTGATTCAGTCTTTGAGGTGTCACTGCCTGGGTATGGTGCCTGGGTCTTTGTTATTAAATAACAAGGCACAGGGCGAGCAGAACGGAGTGAAACTATAGCAGAGGGGGAGTCCAGAAGCCGGAGTCAGCCCTTGGCTGTGTTTCTTTTGTAAGAATATATCTCACACAAGCAAGAAGGAAATACATTCAGCTGAAATTTATATAGTTGTTTCTTTCTTTTTTAAAAAAATAATAGATCAGTACTTGGGAGACTGAGGCAGAAGGATTGCTCTGAGTTCAAAGTAAGCCTGGGCTACAAAGTATGACCCAGTCTCAAAAACCCAAAGCAAAATAAATAAATGAATATGAAATATGAAGCAACAGCTAGCACAGTGTATGCATTGAGCTTCATAACATATAGAATATTTTCAGTACATTGTCCAAACAAGGTCACAGAAATAACGTGTCCCCTTCCCATTGTGAATACAAAACTGAAGACGTGTGGATATACTAGATTGCTCATTACCATGCAAATAGGTTGCAAACCTGAGTCCTCAAGCAGCTGTGCCCAACTGCCCCTGCCCTACCCCGACATTACTTCATACAACTACGTAAAATCACCCTGTGCGTATTTTCTTGGAATTGTGTTTCCTGTCTGCCTTTCTCAGTTCCTTTTCTTCTGAAGTGTACGTCCTAAGAAGAACTTTAGGGCCCCATCTGTCCAGCTTTGGGCTTCTTCCACACAAGTAAAAACAAGGCGGACATAGTTCACTGGGTAAACACAAGTGGCAGGCAACAGTGATTTATGCTCACCTTGCAAACTTCTGATTACCAATTCGTCGCCTGCTATATAAACAGGTGTAAACTAAGATTTAATCAGTTTACACAGCATGGTAAATAATTTAATCTCTCCTTAGCAGGGTGCTTGCAAACGTAAATGTTCAAGACCAAATTGATGGTGACGTTCTGGTCTAAGTGTCCACTTTCTCAGCCAGGAAAGCTGTGCCCACAGATGCGTCTCAAGTACCCCTGCCCAGGGACAGGAATGTGGGAGGCAGAAAACCCAGAATCCCCCATGGAAACCTCATTTTCACAACATAAAGCTTAGCTAGGAGCTCAGAGAAATGGCTGTCACCTCTCTACCTTTAACTCTCTCATTCTCAAATGTTCTGTTCTTTTTTTTCCACCATGCATGTCAGCCATCTCTCCACTTGTCAGTTATTCCTGACCACTTTGTCCTGCCACTTCCCTGCCATCCTCACACAGAGCTCATGGAAGAAGGAGCAGAACTATGGGAATAGCAATGAGATAGCTAAAGGTGTTGCATTCTGTTAAAAAAAAAAAAAAACTTACTAAGTCTCGTTTAATGTGTACTCATTCAAGAAGCCCCTTCATCAATTCTGTAGGTAGTTGTTTATTATCCCATTTTCCAGTTAAGATAATTGAGGCAGAGAAAGAAACGTTCCACACACGACATATATAATAAACACCCCAGGCCTCAGCTAGGTTTGTCTCCATGAGCCTCAGTTTTAAGTTATCCTATAAAATTGTACAGGCATTGAGCTGGGCTCAGATAGCCTAAATAATATTCAGGAGGCTCATTATTTTAACTCTAAGGAAAATGACCAGTACACCATGTTCCCCCACTAAAGCACCTCCATGAGCCTATGGAATATCTCATGGGAGACAGTAACTTTATAGGAAACACCTGGACCCCAGTCTGCCTTGATGGAAGAGTGTGTCTGTGTAGGTATAGAAAAATTACACAGAAAAAAAAAACAAACACAATAAACAGTGGGTATCCCAGAAAGAAAGGATCTGCAATTTGCCTTGAGGGAACAGCGCACGGCGCAAGGCAAGGAAACCATGCAATCAAATACATGACACTTACTTCCGTCCTTGGCTCCCTGCACTCTCCATCACGTAGTAGCCCGGCTTGCACTCATATCTGCAGATGGTGCCCACATCGTGGCTGCCCTCTAGGCAATGTGGCAGAAGCAAATTGGCATTTGGAATAACTGGAGGAGCATCACATTCCAACTTGCAGTAGACTTCAGGGAGAGACCAGAGTCCATCTTCCAGACAGGTCAGCCATGGGCTCAGTCCTGACTCCAGGAAAGAGAATCACGTGATGCTCCGAACAGAAAACACATTGACAAAGAACAGAAACCTAGGTAACGAACAGATGCACTGACTTTCAAGTCCGATTAGTCTTTGTTGAGCAGTGTCTCTAAAACCTCCCAGCAAATGCTGACCCCGTCTGTTCTTACTTTACAGCTCTTAGTGAGGTCTCACATACCATAGCACCGCATAAAGATACCCTAGTCTCAATGGAAGAAGAGCTGCCCATCAAATCATTGCCTCTCTTCCTACCTATAAGTAGCAAATGCACAGCAATAATAGTAATATGGGTGGTATTAAAACAGTGATAGTTGGCACTTTAATGGTGATTAAATACCAGGCACTATTCTAAGGGTTCTGCTTGTGTGAATTCATGTAAATTCCAAACAGCAAACAACCCTATCAAATAGATTTTGGCTATCCCCTACCAGGGAGATAAGGAAATGGTGTCTGTTCAAAAGCAGTCTGGTTTTGAGAGAGAGGGTCTTGGTATAGAGTTCTGAGCTTGAATACCCTGCCACGTGACTCTCTACAATCTGGTTTCTCCCACGGTAAACTAGAATGGCCAGAGTTAGCATCACTAGCCTGCCAACCTACTGAACCACATCTGAGAGTAAGACTGAGGATCCACCTAGGCCATGAGCCATTGTGTGGCATACTGAAGGCTGAGAGGTCTAGACAAAGAGTAAGATGTGGTGGTTAGCTAGAGCCTGGTCCAGCACCTCTTCATCTCAAGTAGCCACAGCCACAACCGGGATACATCGTGTTACTGTGTTCTCCTAACTTACAAAATAAAAGAAAGCATATCTACTACAGAATGTCTGTGGGTATTAAAACTTAACAGCATGTATCTCCATTGTTAATGTTATGAGAACAATTATGCTTATTGACTTTATTCTGAGAATGCACATAAAATCAAGAAACAAAGATTAAATTTCATTCATTATTAATGACACCCAAATCCAGGCCATCTCTACACATTTCAGGAACAACAAAAAAATAGTGGTATCTGAGGGGATTCTGTGTCATCTGAAGAGGATATCAGAGAATAGCAATTTCGAAGCAAACGTGAGTGTAAAAACAGTACAAAAGTCCCCCTACAGAGCGAGGGAATGCAAGGGGCTCACATTTAGTTCCCTGGCTGGCACAACGATACCTTGGAGTTTGGCTGGTGGGACACACGAGATGGAACAGCGTTTCAGGAAGTCAGTACCCTCCAAGCAGGAGAAGTTTGCATAGTTCACCAAGGATGCTTCGGGGACACCACAGTCAATGCGCATGCAGATCACATCCTTGTCCCAGTGGCCAGAGGAACAAGTGAGGAGAATCCCTTTCTAGAAACAGAGATTCCTTCTGTCAAAATTACATAGAATGACTATCAATCAGATTTGCTTCCTGCCTTTGGAAGAGTCCCAGTGGTCATTTGTGCGACCATTCTGCCTTTGTCCTTTCCTGACTCACTGCTTGGGGGGAGGGGTGGAGATGCTGATGGAGAGAGCCAGTTTGTACCGGGAAGTCACTGGGGCATGGCTCTTCCAAGCCATGTATTTGAGTTGCCCATTCCTCGCTCTGATCTATCTATTTTCACTCTCTATCCAACCTGCTCTAGATCCAGGCTCTCAAGCTTTTTACTGGTGCTTGAATGCTTGCCCTAGAACCTGGAGACAAACTGAAGAGGACAAGAGAAAAGAAAGTCCTAGGTGCTTATTCTCCCTGTGCCCCCCTGAAGGGTTGGCTTGGCTGCAGACTGATTCATCCAGCGGCTGTCTTCTCTACCTTGTTCTAGTCTTTGATCCTGTGAGATCTGCCATTGCACAGACCCAACTTTTCAGGCTTAAGGGTGAGAGCAGAGCCCATCACTCTGGGCTATTGCACATGGCACAGCATATCCTTATTTCCTGCCTACGTCTTTTAAAGCCATCTGATAATAAACTTCTCTTCTGTTACCTACTTTGGAGCAAGGTACCATGAATCCAGCACTAGACTGGGCTAAGGAGTAAGATCTTCTCTCAAAAACTCAAAGTAAACTAATAAGAAAAAAAGGGCAACACCTTGCCTAGTATATGCACTGAGTTTCATAACTGACAAAAATACTTTTAGTACATTGTTTAACTTTCATACCCAAAATAATCCTTTCCATTTTGGATACAAACACTAGAACACATGGATGTTGACTAGATTGCTCATTACCATGCAAAGAAGTTAGACAGCAACTGTTTCCTACTGGCACCCTTACTAATAAACACACTGATTGATACTAAAAATAACTACCTGTGTCAAGAAAAGTGAACGGTACCTAAGAGAGTTAATACACACAGGTGCTTCTATCCAACCTGTGGTAAGTGGGAGTACGTCTAGCCTTGTTCCCAAACTTTCCATTTCAGTGGGCAGGCCTAGAGTGCATTGCCTTTATATAAATGAGAAAAGATGCATGGAGTACCCAGAAGGGCCTGGTCCTGCACTAACAAGATACTTTCCAGAGGCTGAAAGTCTAAGAGTGGGGCAAATCACTGAGTCAGTGACTAACAACAAAAAGGAAAAGAGAAGCTCATAGATGCTAGCAATGCATTTTAATTTGGTCTAATATAGTCTGACAGCCTTCCCTAATGATTAGAGAGAATACAACATAAAGAAAATAAATTAGAAATGAGAGAAATAGAAAAGATTCCAGAAGAAAGCAGTAACACTAGAGAAATGAAAGCTTATCATCAGGTATTGCAGGAGTGGGGAGGGCAGTACCCAAGGAGCCAGGAAGAGGGACAGCCACCCTCAGGCGGAAAAAAAAATCCAACCAACCAAACAAACCAAAACAACAACAACAAAACCCTTGACATGGGTACAGGACTTGAAAGAGTATCAGGACTTTTGGACCGCTTAGGGGAGGTGGGAGAAGGCATCCAGCCAGGTATGAGATGAGCAGGCACTTAGTGACTGTGAAACTCGTGGCTTATTTGGAAAAAACAAGCATCTGGCTGTGGGGATAAAGATCAAAGACAGCAGAAGAGTTTCTATGATGAAACTGCAGTCATCCCATCAGGTGACCACACTGGCACACGAGCCAAAGGTCCAATGACGGCTGAAGGCACCTATCACCCCTGACACTACATCTCAGCTTAGGGCTTTTCTCTGCTTTCCAGTGTGTTCCTGTTGCCAGTCAGAAGGATCCAAGTTAAAGCCAGACACATTTTTTCTATTTAACTTCAGTTCTCATGTCAACAGAAAGCAAATATCCTCACTGTCTTGTGATCATAAGCCTGGATTGTACAATTTCCTGCATGGGGCCAGAGTCGGGTGACAGTGGCTGGTCAGCTGCAGGGTGCCATTGCTACTCTGCCATGTGTTTGGCAAATACGATCTCCCATCCTCCTTCTAACCAGGTTCTTCTCACACTTAGCACAGTTGGGAGGTCTGGTTCAAACTGTAGCAAACCACTAATCATTTAAAGACTGTCTCTAAACTCCATGTGTAATGCCTGGCTTTTCTCTTGGCTTTTTGAGTATTGCCCATTTTGTTTTAAATTTGTCCAACTTTAATGCATGACAAACACAGCCTTTATTCTCTGCTCTTCTTGACGTACCACATACATGTATTTATTCCTAACTTGTTGAGTTATTTCTGCTGTGTTCTCAGCATAAAGTATCTTTGCCTGAGTTAAAAACAGGTGATAGAAGATCTTTCTAAATAAGGAATTTGATGCCTCAAGCTTTATTAAAACGGTCTCTGTCTAGGTGATTTCATGAGAATTTCTCAAATTCATAATAGTGCCTTTAAATTCTGACCATGTCTAAGAAAGTGAAATTCTTCCATGGGTTCACAAACTGTTAAGGAATCAATTGGCAGAAAACCGAAACATTACCATTTCACAAACAATTAATGCCTGACTAGCAATGGTGTACCTATTCTTTTTCCACTATCATGCATATTTCTGTCTCTCCTTTCAAGCTAATTGCAGTTTACCTTGTATATACTTCCACTATCTCATAGTGTGATCCTGCTTCCCAATGGTTCGTTTATACTTAAAACTCCCCTGTTGAGTCCTGCAAGCTTTCTCAAGGGGAGATGTGAAACTAAGCCCAAGTTAGAGAGAGGTTATCTTAGTCTTAATACTTGAAGCTTAGCTATGAGAGCACCCAATGTCTATCATTTCACCTGAAGCTTAAAATAATGTTCATCATCCATTGTAATAACTCAACAAGTTCAGTACTTCTGTTTGGAATAGTTACAAGTGCAGAAGCAAATTTAAAGGGATTATTTTATTTTGTTTTTTTCTAACTGTTGTACATCTAAAAGATCATGGAGGCAAAAAATTTGTCTAGGTCTGTCTCTTGAACCATGCTCTTCACTAATACATTCTACTATCTCCAGGCAACCCAAAATCCTGAAAATGGTGCAGTTGAAATGAGGAGTGGGGTATATAAAAACTCAGTACCATGATACAATCCTGCCTTGGTTGCAGATTTAATGGTTTGGGGTGCAATTTTGTTATATTCCTCCAACAATCCTGAAAGGGAATCAGGAGAGCAGGAGGCTGACACTGAACCTCAGACAAGTTGACAGCAATCTGTTTTGCTATAAATTATGAGAAAGTCTACTTTGAGACATTGTCATCTGTGAAGAAGACAAATTGAGGGAACACTGAATAAGCCCTCAAATCCTACTGTCCACACAGTGAATACATTAACACCCTAAGGGCTCAGTTTCATACGTTTGAACACCTTAAAATGTGGTATTGCCATGTTTCCTTTGCTTTCATGGAGATCACAGTTTTTGTTCTTGAGGATTTAAGAATTCCCACCCTTCCTAGTCTAGTGAGAAAGAAGAAGATAGGGAGTTTCCCGCCCTAGAAACTCTTTCCTTCCGATCCTCAGTTTTCAACTCACCTTCATGTGCCTGAAGTACTGCCCACTGCTGCTCTGAAGTACATACCCCCTTTGACAAGTGATGGCACACTTCATGTGACCTGGGCCACTGGAGGTACAATTTACCATGTCTGCATGGTCAAGCTGCAATGGTGCACATCTTCCCTGTTCTCCACATGGTCGTTGGGCACAGCTGGAGACAACAAAAATGGAAGCATCTTAGGGTAAAGCTAAATGACAACAGTATACATATCTGAACAATACACCTACAGAGCAGAATGATTTTCTTCATAGTCTAAGTGTGACTCATCACTTTCTTCCATCTCCCTATGAATTATGAGGCATGATAAACTTAAAACAGGACAGCTAACTTTCTGTGACCCTTCTAGGAGAGACAGTGATAATGGGGTAAGGTAGACAATGGGTTCCCAAGGTTCTAGATACTCTCAGAAACTAATTGACCTAAGAATGATGCTCGAAACATTAAATAGCAACATTTCTAGGTCCCAAGCAATCAGAATAAACCCAGAACAAATCTCAAAAATAGATCCTGGAGACACCTGGTTTCATCAGGCATTGGTTCTTTAGATAACTGATCACAAGAAAGTCCCAGAGTGCCTTGTGACGAGGTTGAGTATCTGAGATCCCAGACTGATGAACTTGAAACATTTTTACTATGGGTACGTACCACTGAAGAGTGGCATAGGCTAAGGAAACCGACCAGTATGAATTGAATCCCCATCACATGCCAGACACTCTCCTTAGCAGAGAATTGCTTATTAAAACAGAAGCCAGAGAGATACATAAACTCTCTAGGGCTCAAGGAGATGATAGAACCTGGACTCTAATAGAAGCAATGACACAAGAGGCAGTGGGACAAGAAGAGTATAGCCTCCAGACATCGAGGAAATATGTTTAACTAAAACATTAGTTCCAGAATTCAGTCCTGGCTCTAGAATTTAATACTTGAATAATATGGAGTGAGGAATTCACACTCTGATGTTTCAGTTTCTTCCCTTATAGGAGAAGATTTATAGGGTACACACTTTACAAGGTTGATACTGTTCCCAAATCAATCCCTTTTGCTGTCCTACTGCCAAAGGGCCGATCCCATCTCAGTATCTGTTTCTTATCAGGCTCCCTTCTTTTTCATTTCTCTCACTTCCACACTTTTTTCAGTTTAATGAGATTTCTAAAAGGCCTTCTTTTTCCAAGAAGCAACCCTCCCCCATTTACTTTCTTCCTTCAAATCTCTTAGTGAAAGTATAAAAATAACTGCCTTCTAATAATTTATTTGATCTTGTTATATATGCACTTTCTTGTTCTTAAATTGCTGAGTTACTTATCCATTTACCCACAAGACAATTATCTGTTGTGTCCTTGATCTCACAACTGGACTTTGAAGTTCTTGAAGAGCAATACTTATTCTTGCCCAATTTTAAATAACCATATTCTTGACTATAGCAACCACAATGAAAACTTACTTAATTAAATTTGTTCCTATTTCAGATAGTAAAGCTAATCAGTGTTACTGAAATGTATTAAATGACATAAAAGAAAATTATCCTGCTATGATTCAACCATTCTGCCCCAAACACCCAATCACTCATTCACCAATAAACATAAAGTATAATATTTCCCAAGACCTTAGCATAACTGATGCCATGACAGAGGAACCATTCTGACCAGCATGTAGACCCCTAACACCTGCTCCAACAGTGATAAAGACCTAATCCATTCAAGACCTAGTCCATATACCAGGATCTAGAAAAGTTCCTAAATGGACTGACCTTACTTTTTGACTTCTATAGTTTTACTTCTCACTTAGTTTCTTGCTAACAAAAGTGTGTCAACTATGATGTGGCTTTTGTACATAAAAGACAAAGAATAATAAGATCAGGGCTGCATGATTTGAGCAAGTTCCCCATGCAGCCAACAGATGGTAAAACAGACTTTCTATTCAGCAAGAGTATCTGTGCTCCAGTGGAATTATCTCACAACAACAACAACAACAACAAAGACTATGCTTTTTGAGACATTGGACTGAGCACTGGTGGTTTAACAAAGATAGTGTCTTTAAGGAACTCAATCTAGTGAGAGAGACTAACAATGTGTTTTCTTACTCTTGATGTTCTTGCCAGCGGTGACAATCATTAGAGAAAGTAGCTAGCATCATCCCCAACAATGAGCTCTACTTGTCCTTGGTTTATATTAGTAGTTGATGACTTTATCAAATGACTAGATAAAAGTATAAGAATGTAGGAAGCAGCGTGCCATTAAATATGTACATAGGTCCAACTGTATTTGAGACTTGGTTCCAAAAGCAGTAGTAGCCCGTAAAAGGGGCAGATTTGATCTGACTGTGATAAAAAGATGTCCCTGATGAATGGGGTTTAAACACTATTTCATTGACACTCTAATTTCTTTTACGTATGCCTGAGATGGTGGAAGAAGTGGAGATGCATGATGGGAAGGGATCTTTTTGCTGTCTTATCCCATAGTTATTCTCTAGATGATGTAACGTCCATACCACCCGAAGAAATAAAGGAAAACATAAGCTGAGGAAATCAGGATCATTAATGAATCTATGTGAATTTCCCAAATCCCATGCTGACCAGAGAGTATGTGATATAAAGAATGAGGCTGTGTCTGAGTCTTTACCTAACATTTGGATAAGGTAGTCAAAACTTGACTGTCTATGGGATGAGCTCAGAATACTTCCTCTGTAATATCAAAGAACTTTCAATCCATAAACGCTACATGTTATTCATCTCCAAACCACTGTATCTTCCTCAGCATGTTGAGCAGGAAGGGCAAGAAAAGAAAACTCTCTGGGTCATGTCAGCTGATTGCCAAGGGACTTGTATGAAAGGACACACACTATTAAAGTGACTTTATGGGATGAGCCCACATCATCATGAAGGACTAGCACCAAAAGTTAGCACCATGCATGAGCATCTATCCATCGATAAGGCTAGGACCACATTTCTTATTGGTGTTATGAGCATCTAGCACCAGGAGTGTATCCAGCATTTTCAGCAGAGAAGAACATAAGACAAGGAATACACAAAAGGGAAAGGTGTCATGAAGTAAGACCATGAGTGGGGGGGAGCAAACCCAAACCTGTTTATGAAGTGAGAAACGGTTTCGTGGCAGCTGCTGCAAATTTCTTCACTAGCTTATATTTCCATTTACTTCCTTTTAAAAAAATTTGTTTTATGAGGGTGGTGTTTGTCAGGTCGTTAGCTTCTGATGGCATCTGGTACCAATTGTGGACTTGTCTCCCTTGCACCCCAATCCCAAACCCTTTTGGGGGTTTCTCTTCCACTACAAACATTGCCTTCCGAGTAAGTGTGTTGTGTTCACTATTATCGCACCTTGTTACATTCTCCTTTCTCCTAATGTGACCTTGGTTCCCGTAGTATGAAGACAGTGCTAATAGCTTAAATAGCTCATCTTAAAAATTCTCAAATGCTTTCTTCTGTTGGTCTCTGGAAAAGGTTGATGAAGGTGGCAAAAGTGATGCTTTGCAATGAAGTGAGGCTGGGAAGGCAAGAGAAGATATTTATCTTGGTTTGACATACAAGGAAACTAAAGCTATTTGGAGACTGGCTAGAGGCCACACATAGAGTCAGAGGAAAATCTTCACCCCCTGGGCCTCCTTCCTAGGCCAACTTAGACCACGAGGCTTTAGGAATGGGGTTGCTCTCCTGCTATTTTCTGTCCAATCAGGAAAGAGCAGCACTGGCTACATGAACCAAAGGGTTCCTTAGTAGGGTAATAAGAGGGATGCATAGAATATTTATTAGTTCATTTGAGTTTTGAACAGTAGTTTTTCAAATGTGGTAAACCAAGACAACAGTGTTTGGCCAGGTGCTATCTGTAAAAATCCCCTGAGTATGCTTCCCCGTTGGCAGTGTCTCTTTTCTCTCCCAGCTACTTTTTCAGATCTCTCTATCCCTCATCACAATGTCTTCTCAGGCAGGAATATGATGAGAACAGCCAAATGTAAGTTTTAAGTTTTAAGTCAGAGGATTGAATTTTTCAAAATTGAATTTCAAGCTAATGGGTCCTTAGAAATCACACCATGAACATGGCCATCTACCCATTATTCTAGCTTTATTTTATTGTCCTCTCTCTCTCTCTCTCTCTCTCTCTCTCTCTCTCTCTCTCTCTCTCTCCCTTTCTCTCTTTCTCTCTCTCCCTTTTCTGAAAAGCCACTACATCTTTTATTTGGTTCTGATTCTAAAAACCATTATGTAGAAGGGACTGAAACTAAGATATTGAATTCAGGAATCCCAGTTAAAGGAACCATTTTTACCCCAGTCTATTTTCTTGTTATATAGAATTAACTCCGAAGCCCTCCACACTCAGTCCTAACAATCTCTCACTATATCACTTCTCCTCAAGTGACTTGACATGCAAATGATGCCCAGGGGTGAGAAACCTCTGCTACCATGATCCCACAAAAGATTGGTCCTCTGCTCTGTGATGCAGGCTCTCATTGTACCTGCGTCACAGGCTCATGTAGCTTTTAATCCATGTTTATTTCCACCCCTGATCACTGGAGTGATTTTTATTTTTTCTGGTGGTTTTCAAATGGTTATTTGTTTTGTTTCGGTTTCTGAGGCAGGGTCTCACTCTGTAGTCCAGGCAGGATTTGAGTTAAAATTTTTCTGAGCCTCCTGCATCTTCATCTCTATGCTAGGATTACAAGTATGTACCACTATGAGCAGCTGCTTCCATTTTTACTACCCACCAGGAGTCAGTCCTATTCCGGGAAAGGTCTGGATACTTATAGTCTAATGGAAAGTTTGATAAATTCTAGAGGCCTAGACTGAATGAAATCAAAACTGACTCCAAAAAGATAAATAGATTTCACTGCTGAATCATTATGCTTTAGTGATTATCACAAAGAAGCCTCAGAGTAGGCCAAAAACATATCCTCCAGTTCTGACAAAAAAAAAATGAATACGTTTGAAGAGGGAAAATGAATCATGAGCTATTCATTATGAATTCAAGGCTCCTTCAGAGATAATTTTACCATTACATTGATTTGACTTTAAGGAATGACTAAGATTTAGAAGGACTAAATACATGTCCTGGGGAGTTACTTCTGAGGCTTTATAGACAGCAAAATGGAGCACCGTGAAGAAAGCATGGAGGAAATCATGATTTCTGCTGTCACTGTAC